ACACCCTAGCGTGTCAAGGGCTCCCAAAGGGGGACAACCCTTTGGTTCCCCTTTTTGTTCCCCATCCCCTTTAGTTCTTCCCCTAAAGGGGATGAAGAACATAGGGGACAGATAACCGAAGTTGGACACCAAAGGGCTCCCCCTTTGGTCACAAAGTCCCTAAAGGGAATGATGACAACCCTTTAAGTGACCAAAGGTTGTCCCTAAAGGGAATGACACATAGGGGACTTAGACCAGAGGGGGGGACAAGGGACGGTGTGAGTTCTTCCCCTGTCATCATCCCCCTCTGTTCTTCATCCCCTTTAGTTCCCCTTTAGGGGATGAACTAAAGTTCCCCTTTAGGGGAAGAACTTTAGGGGATGTTCCCCCTTCGGGGATGCCAAAGGGTTGTCTTCTTCCCCTTTAGTTCGTCCCCTTTAGGGGAACCAAAGGGGTGCTCCCCGAAGGGGAACCCCTTCTTCATCCCCTTTAGGGGAACTAAAGGGGACGGAGACGAAGGGGGTTCCCCTTTAGGGGAAGAACTAAAAGGGAACCCCCTTTGGGCTCTTTGGTTCCCCTTTAGGGGACGACCAAAGGGGACAACCTTTGGGAGCCCATTCCCCAAAGGGGACCGTCTCCCCCCCCCCCCTTTGGTCGTCCCCTAAAGGGGAACCAAAGTCCCTAAAGGGAATGATGACAACCCTTTGGTCTCCCCCCCTTTGGGTTTGTCTATCCCCTTTAGTTCCCCTAAAGGGGATGAACAAACTTTGGGCTCCCCTTTAGTTCCCCTTTAGGGGATGAACAAAAAGGGGACAACCAAAGGTTGTCCCTAAAGGGAATGACTTCCCCTTCGGGGAACCAAGGGGACTAAGCCCAAAGGGGGACGCGGCCCCCTAGGATATCACCGAAGGGTTCCCCTTTAGTTCTTCTTCTTCTTCCCCTAAAGGGGAACTAAAGGGGATGAACCCCTTCTTCCCCTTTAGGGGACTTCTTCCCCTTTAGTTCATCCCCTTTAGGGGAACTAAAGGGGATGAACTAAAGGGGAAGACGAGCACTAAAGTCTTCCCCTAAAGGGGAACCCCTTCTTCATCCCCTAAAGGGGGGAACTAAAGGGGAAGAAGGGGTTCTTCCCCTAAAGGGGAACTTTAGTTCATCCCCTTTAGGGGAACTTTAGTTCCCCCTTTAGGGGAAGAAGAAGACTTTGGGGTTCTTCCCCTAAAGGGGAAGAAGAAGAGCACTAAAGGGGATGAAGACAAGGAAGGAAAGGGGCAGAGCCCCGTAATCGAGTTAACTCACAAACGTCTT